GGAGGGAATGGGGACTTTGCAGCAGGGGTCTTCAAACTTGACAGCTTTTAAGACTTGTGGACTTCAACTCCTAGATCTAACCAACCACTGCCTATCCAATACATACTTCATCTACAATGGACAAAAATACAAACAAATAGAAGGAGCACCCATGGGGTCACCCCTCTCACCTGTCATCGCAAACCTCTACATGAAACACTTTGAAACACAAGCTCTAGAAAAATATGATCACATATTGGGGTTGTCGACAAAATCAGTAAGATATTACATAGGCATCACATCAAGACTGCCTTCAAACAGACAGAAAAATAGCAGCCATCCTTAGAAACCCCAAGATAAAATTGACCTGGAAAACCAAGGCATATATGAAGTCCCCTGTGCATCATGCCTGGCCACATACATTGGACAGACCAATAGAAGAATAAGTACCTGCCTGGATGAACACAAAAATGCAGTAAAAAAGCTGGAACACACTTCCTCACTAGTCCAACACACGAAAGCCACAGGTCATAGCATCAACTTCAATGGCACCAAAACCCTAGCCACTATAGAAAACCCCAGCCACAGAATTATCAGAGAAGCCATAGAGATTGAAAAAAGACCTGAAAGCATGAATAGAAGAGATGATTCCACCAGACTGTCAATCATTTGGAAGCCTGCACTCACAAACAAAAAAATCTCCACACCACAAGCCAGACAAGCACCCGGGCACAAACAGATCCCCCTGATACCTCCAGCTCAAACACACCCCAACCAGGCACCCAGATGAAACCTAGCTTCCTAACTAATGATAGCCGTCCATTTACTTGGAGCCAAGCTGCACTAAAATCCTCCAATACAGGAACACAATGTTGCCAGCCAATCAAGACAAAAAAAGCCACAAAACAGACAGAAGATATTAGAAACACCAATCAAGCAGAACACAGCAAACTCCAAGACCAGTAAACACAGACCAAGACTCCCAACCAATCAGGATGAAGAAAAAACCATTCTGGGACAGCAGTAGGCTAGCCCCAAATTTAAAACTGAAACAACTGTAAAAGTCTGACTCACAGACGAACACAATACAGAAGCCTGATGATGGCAGATGAGATTCTGCCGAAACGTTGCTACAACTTTAAAAGCACAACTATAATGACGTGGGAAAATACCCAAACAAAGCTGAATACCATGCATGCAAGTACCCGCGAAAACTTAAGAAAATATATATATATATATAGTTGCCAAGTTTGAAAAACACTGCTGTAAAAGTTTTTGCGTTATTTATTGCATTCTCTGGAATGTCAAGAATTAGCATTTCCAAAACTTGCCAGCAAACCACTGAAATATTAATATATAATTATTTCCATCATTTTGGCACAAAAAAGCCAGGCATGTAAACATAGCTTGACACATATAAATAAGTTTCTTCCTCCTCCTTGGCAAAAGAAATGTTTGACAGCACCCAAGAATCTATCCAAAAAATATATTACAGGAGAAACTGCCGTGGGAGAAATGCAGCGGCCCAGGGGAAAGGTGCCTGGGCTGGGGGCTGGAGGTGGGGAGGGGGGCTGCTTGGCTCAGCCAGATGGGAGGGGGCTGCTGCTGACTTGGCTGCTGGCAGGCCTGAGTCTCCCTGCTAGAGAAAACAGTCAGCCCCAGCTGTGTGTTTAGGTCTGTGTATCTCAACCTTAACAGCTTTAAGAGTGTGGATTTCAACTCCCGGAATTCTGCAGCTAGCCTTAATTTGCTGCGGTTGAGAAGCAGAGGTTTTGGGTGGTCTCTGAGGTTGCCACCTTAGAGACAGTGCCAATGGCAACAGTCGATATGTGTCCTTCATTCCAACAGATGGACAGAGTGAGGGAGGAGGCAGGAATCTTTATCCCATCCTGGACAAGTCAGTGTACAACCTTTTCTTGAAGATCTCCACTGACGGAGCACACACAATTACGAGAGGCCAGCTGTTCCATTGGTTAATTGCTTTCACTTTAGGGAAATACCTCCTTAGTGCCAAGTTAGATCTCTCTTTAATGAACTTCAACCCATTGCTTTGTGCCCTGCCGTCTGGTGCTTTGGAGCAGGGGTCTCCAACCTTGGCCACTTTAAGACCTGTGGACTTCAGCTCCCAGAATTCCTCAGCCAGCTTTGTTAGGTTCCAAGGTGAAGTCCTAGAGAGGTCCTGTAGTTTGGAGAACAAGTCAATCCTCATCTCTATCCCTGCCTGTTGAGTTTTAGAAGACTGCTATCATGTCACCCTACTCCTTCTTTTCATTAGGCTAGACATACCTAATTCCCTCGGCCACAGATATAGGGACCCCTGTCTTGGGCAAGGGGTAGAACTGGAATATGTCCCAGGCCCCCTCCAGTCCTATGATTCTACGATCTAGGACAGGTGGGTAGAGAGAATGATCCCTGAATTCCTTTTCTACAACTCATGATCACCTCCCAAGTCTTAGACCAGAATTTCTTAAATGATAACATCAGGAGCGGTGGTCTATATTATGATCCAAAGAAACATAAAACCATATACTTTTTCTTTGTGTGTTTTATTTCTCCCATAAATTGGACTGTGAGGAGATCCTTCGATTTACACCCCTGCTTGATTCTTCATTAAAAGAACCCTTTAGATGTGTTCTTCATTTCTTCCGTACCTCTTCAGACTCTGCCTGCAGCTCTTCACCTGCTCCCTGGAGGGAACCATAAAGATCACCGAGACCTCCCCATGCCCCACAAGCAATGCCAAGGCAGGATGTTTGGGGCAGAAGTTCTCAAATGGACCATCCACAGTTCCAGTCATTGTAATGCATGAGAAGAAAAAACACCTTCCTTCTCCCAAATGGACAACCTTGCCTAATTATTGAAAGAGACAGGAAAGCAGTGGTGGACTGGGAAATTTGAAATATAAGATGTATTATTGGGGCTGGAAAAGCAAGCAGCCAACAATTTTCACGGGTTAGTCCTGCAGATTTAAGTTTCTAAGTCGACGATTTCAGATGGGTGGGAATACACATTGAATAAAACCAAGAAGTTGCATTTAAGTTTCTGAGGCAGTGTTTCCCAACCTTAGAAGATGTGAAGACTCCGGCATGGCTGCCCAGTGAGCTCTAGGAGCTAAAGTCCATACATCCTCAAGCGGCCAAGGCTGAGGAAATCCTGCTCTAAAGAGTGACATTCTGAGAAGCCCATCCCTAAATAATTTGTAGGAGAAAAAATTACTAGGTGGGAATATGACAGCAGATTGCCCGATTTTCTTTCACCCGAAACATCTATATGAATGAGGACAGGATATAGAGTGTTGAAAGCCAGGACAAGTAGATTTAAATGTAGTTTTTACCCAAGTGCTGTGATCAGGTTAAATGCAGAGTTATGAATCTGGTGGCCTTAATATATATATATCCTGGTTGTACAGTTTTTAACTGTTATTTGTTTTAATTTGTTTTACATTGTTATTTGTATATGTCTTTTGGTGTTCAGTTGTATGTTGTGGAAGAGCACCTTATTTCATTGTTCTCAGGTTTCTGAGTACAATGACAATAAATCTATCTATCTATCTATCTATCTATCTATCTATCTATCTATCTATCTATCTATCTATCTATCTATCTATCTGACAGAGGCTATGTCTATAAACCTCACAGCCCTTGAGTTGATCCTGGCTGCCCTGGATGACTCTGCCTTCACAGTCAGCTCTACTGGGGCTACGGTACAAAGTGAATACACCACAGTAGCAAACGGGGAGCAAAATAAAAATAGACTTACACCCTGTTAATCGATCCCTTGAAATAATGCATCTCTAGATACTAAGCATGAAGCATACACTCAAAATGTAAACGCAACTTGGTCTGGTTGCTACTGTGGTAGTGGCAGTGCAGCGTCTTTAAGCCCTGAATCTGCAGAATTGCTACACCAGAGAAAAAAAGGCCAACCCTGAAATCAGCTTGGTGGCAAAGCAAAACACAATCATTTGTCCACGTGGAAGCACATTCCCCCTCTAAGTCACAATTTGCTGTGCTCCAGCCTTCAAATTCTCCTCAGCCTGGAAAAAAATGAGGAGTCGTTTTTCAAATCATTCCCACAAATACAAACAGCAGAACTTCTCTCCAAAAACCAGAAGACAATTTTCCACCCCTGTTGTTCTAAAGTCTCAGAAGACGGTGTTTTTGCTCCTTGAGGTGAAACTGAGCACAAAAAGATGTCAACTATAACAGAAAGAGAGGGGGGGGAGAGAGAGAGAGAGAGGAAGGAAGGAAGGAAAGAAGAAAAAGAAAGAAAGAAAGAAAGAAAGAAAGAAAGAAAGAAAGAAAGAAAAAGTTAATTCTGCTTTCAGCCAGAACATCCTGCCTGCCCCAGCCCTGGCTATACAATGGTGTTTAAATTTGCAGGAAGGCGGCCAATAATAAGTTGAAATTTCACCCTCTCCCCCTTCCTCTGTAACTTAATACGCTGCCTTCAGCTGTGCATCGAACCCATATGTGGGGGCCAAGCTGCCTCTTTAAAGAAGAAGAAGAAGAAGAAGAAGAAGAAGAAGAAGAAGAAGAAGAA